AACCTCCAAAAGCGGTCCGAACATGGTGTGTCTTGTACATTTTGACTTCGAAAGGTGCTTCGCGCCACAACGGCGTGCGCTTTTTCAACATCTCAACTTCCAATACTAGTCTGAACGTGGTGTGCTTTGTACATTGTGACTTCGAAATGTGCTTCGCGCCACTACGGCGTGCACTTTTTCGACATCTCAACTTCCAAAAGTGGTCCGAACCTGGTGTGTTTTGTACATTTTGACTTCGAAATGTGCTTCGCGCCGCAACGGCGTGCACTTTTTCATCTCTCATCTGGCCAGCTGGCTCCGCACCCGCCGCTTTAGTAGCGGCCTACTTTTCGACCCTCCGCACATCCACAAATCATTGGAAAAACACAGTGTTTCGCGACTTTCCTACCTTTTCGCGCATCTGCATCTTCTTTCTTCTTACTCTTTCTCTTCTACTCTTCTTTCTTCTGATCTTTCTCTTCTCTCTGCCTCTTCCCGGCTCTGCTTTTCATCTGTCCATATTGTCGGAAGTTTGACTTCTAAACTTCCTTCGATTATGCAAAAGTGTTCTTTTTGAAGCTTTTTTGGGTCCAGGAAGGGTGAGCCCCAGGAAGACATGCAAAAACAGTTGTGCCAGTCATGATTTTCAATCCAAACCAGAGTTTTGGCAACAGGATTGCTAACATAGCATTTGCCAAGGGTTCCCAAAACCTCCAATAGTAAATCATAATCATCATGGCAGCAAGGAGCCAGATTGGCAACATCGACCAGGAGTTTTTTCCTTATTCGATCTATTATGTAAAACTGTTCGTTTTGAAGCTTTTTGGGGTCCAGTAAGGGTGAGCCCCAGGAAGACATGCAAAAACAGTTGTGCCAGTCATGATTTTCAATCCAAACCAGAGTTTTGGCAACAGGATTGCTAACATAGCATTTGCCCAGGGTTCCCAAAACCTCCAATAGTACATCATAATCATCATGGCAAGGAGCCAGATTGGCAACATCGACCAGGAGTTTTTTTCCCTTATTCAATCTATTATGTAAAACTGTTCGTTTTGGAGCTTTTTTGGGTCCAGTAAGGGTGAGCCCCAGGAAGACATGCAAAAACAGTTGTGCCAGTCATGATTTTCAATCCAAACCAGAGTTTTGGCAACAGGATTGCTAACATAGCATTTGCCCAGGGTTCCCAAAACCTCCAGTAGTACATCATAATCACCATGGCAGCAAGGAGCCAGATTGGCAACATCGACCAGGAGTTTTTTCCTTATTTAATCTATTATGTAAAACTGTTCGTTTTGAAGCTTTTTGGGGTCCAGTAAGGGTGAGCCCCAGGAAGACATGCAAAAACAGTTGTGCCAGTCATGATTTTCAATCCAAACCAGAGCTTCGGCAACAGGATTGCTAACATAGCATTTGCCCAGGGTTCCCAAAACCTCCAATAGTACATCATAATCACCATGGCAGCAAGGAGCCAGATTAGCAACATCGATCAGGAGTTTTTTCCTTATTCAATCTATTATATATGTAAAACTGTTCGTTTTGGAGCTTTTTTGGGTCCAGTAAGGGTGAGCCCCAGGAAGACATGCAAAACAGTTTTGCCAGTCACTGATTTTCAAGCCAAACCGGAGTTTTTGGCAACAGATTGCTAACAGAGATTTCGCCCAGGGTTTCCCAAACCTTCCAATAGTACAATCATAATCATCATTGCAGCAAGGAGCCAGAATTTGGCAACACATCGACAGGAGTTTTTTTTTCCTTTTCCTTATTCCATCTATATGTAAAACTGTGCGTTTTGAAGCTTTTTTGGGTCCCCATTAAGGGTGAGCCCCGGAAGACATGCAAAAACAGTTGTGCCAGTCATGATTTTCAACCAAACCAGAGTTTGGCAACAGGATTGCTACATAGCATTTTGCCCAGTGTTTCCCAAAACCTCCAATCGTACATCATAATCCATCATGGCAGCAAGGAGCCAGATTGGCAACATCGACCAGGAGTTTTTTCCTTATTCAATCTATTATGTAAAACTGTTCGTTTTGAAGCTTTTTTGGGTGCAGTAAGGGTGAGCCCCGGGAAGACATGCAAAAACAGTTGTGCCAGTCATGATGTTCAATCCAAACCAGAGTTTTGGCAACAGGATTGCTAACATAGCATTTGCCTAGGGTTCCCAAAACCTCCAATAGTACATCATAATCATCATGGCAGCAAGGAGCCAGATTGGCAACATCGACCAGGAGTTTTTTCCTTATTCAATCTATTATGTAAAACTGTTCGTTTTGAAGCTTTTTTGGGTCCAGTAAGGGTGAGCCCCGGGAAGACATGCAAAAACAGTTGTGCCAGTCATGATGTTCAATCCAAACCAGAGTTTTTTGGCAACAGGATTGTAACTAGCCTGTTCCCAGGGTTTCCCAACCCTCCCAATAGTACATCACATAATCATCATGGCACAGGAGCCAGATTGGCAACATCGCACAGGAGTTTTATTCCCTTATTCAATCTATTATGTAAAACTGTTCGTTTTCAAGCTTTTTTGGGTCCAGTAAGGGTGAGCCCCAGGAAGACATGCAAAAACAGTTGTGCCAGTCATGATTTTCAATCCAAACCAGAGTTTTGGCAACGGGATTGCTAACATAGCATTTGCCCACGGTTCCCAAAACCTCCAATAGTACATCATAATCATCATGGCAGCAAGGAGCCAGATTGGCAACATCGACCAGGAGTTTTTCCTTATTCAATCTATTATGTCAAACTGTTCGTTTTGAAGCTTTTTTGGGTCCAGTAAGGGTGAGCCCCAGGAAGACATGCAAAAACAGTTGTGCCAGTCATGACTTTCAATCCAAACTAGAGTTTTGGCAACAGGATTGCTAACATAGCATTTGCCCAGGGTTCCCAAAACCTCCAATAGCACATCATAATCATCATGGCAGCAAGGAGCCAGATTGGCAACATCGACCAGGAGTTTTTTTCCTTATTCAATCTATTATGTAAAACAGTTCGTTTTGAAGCTTTTTTGGGTCCAGTAAGGGTGAGCCCCAGGAAGACATGCAAAAACAGTTGTGCCAGTCATGATTTTCAATCCAAGCCAGAGTTTTGGCAACAGGATTGCTAACATAGCATTTGCCCAGGGTTCCCAAAACCTCCAATAGTACATCATAATCATCATGGCAGCAAGGAGCCAGATTGGCAACATCGACCAGGAGTTTTTTTCCTTATTCAATCTATTATGTAAAACTGTTCGTTTTGAAGTTTGTTTGGGTCCAGTAAGGGTGAGCACCAGGAAGACATGCAAAAACAGTTGTGCCAGTCATGATTTTCAATCCGAACCAGAGTTTTGGCAACAGGATTGCTAACATAGCATTTGCCCAGGGTTCCCAAAACCTCCAATAGTACATCATAATCATCATGGCAGCAAGGAGCCAGATTGGCAACATCGACCAGGAGTTTTCTCCTTATTCAATCTATTATGTAAAACTGTTCGTTTTGAAGCTTTTTTGGGTCCAGTAAGGGTGAGCCCCAGGAAGACATGCAAAAACAGCTGTGCCAGTCATGATTTTCAATCCAAACCAGAGTTTTGGCTACAGGATTGCTAACGTAGCATTTGCCCAGGGCTCCCAAAACCTCCAATAGTACATCATAATCATCATGGCAGCAAGGAGCCAGATTGGCAACATCGACCAGGAGTTTTTTCCTTATTCATCTAATTATGATAAAAGTTCGTTTTGAGTTTTTTTTGGGTCCAGTAGGGTGAGCCCCAGGAAAGACATGCAAAAACAGTTGTGCAGTCATCATGGCAGCAAAGGAGCCGATTGGCAACATCGACCAGGCGTTTGTTTCCTTATTCAATCTATTATGCAACTGTTCGTTTTGAAGCGTTTTTGGTCCAGTAAGGGTGAGCCCCAGGAAGACATGCAAAAACAGTTGTGCCCGTCATGATTTTCAATCCAAACCAGAGTTTTGGCAACAGGATTGCTAACATAGCATTTGCCCAGGGTTCCCAAAACCTCCAATAGTACATCATAATCATCATGGCAGCAAGGAGCCAGATTTGCAACATCGACCAGGAGTTTTTTTCCCTTATTCAATCTATTATGTAAAACTGTTCGTTTTGAAACTTTTTTGGGTCCAGTAAGGGTGAGCCCCAGGAAGACATGCAAAAACAGTTGTGCCAGTCATGATTTTCAATCCAAACCAGAGTTTTGGCAACAGGATTGCTAACATAGGATTTGCCCAGGGTTCCC